AGACCATGTGTCCTGAAAGGTGTATTCCTAGCCTGCTTTCTGGGGTGCTGGTGAACTCCCTTGGCCTGACTCAGAGTTGGCTCAGCAGTGAGGGATGCTCTTGGCAGGCGCCTGAAAGCGCTTGCCAGTTTTGCTCCCGAGCCCATCTTCTGGCAAGCTCGTTCTTGCACGGAACCCTCTGCTGTGGGAGTTCAGGCTGGCTCCACCTCTGCCCCGCCAGCTTCTAATCCGGCAGGACCAGCATTGGTGGAGAGCCATTCGGAAGGTCTCCGCCCACCCCCGGCAAGGTTTCGACCAGAATCTAGCCATGATCTCTAGCAAGAAGGAAGGGGATTCACCAAAGGTTGCAAGATGGGAGTGGGGGGGGGGAGTCCCGGGTGCCAGGCCAAGGGCTACCACTCTGAGACCCCCCTCTGCAGGTGGGGTGCTGAGTTGGGGAGGGGGCGGCCCTGCCAGCATCACTCGCCTCAGTCTAGACCCTGTGCAGGCAAGCCGCCAACTTGAGGCTTGAGGCTGCCCCAGCTCCCGCCTGCGTCTCAGGTGCATCCACGTGCTCTCCAGGATCCCCTCTGCTCAGGAAACGGGGTTCAGCACAGCCCATTCCTGTGCAGGGGCCTTCAGGGCTCCAAGCACCCAGCCAGCTGAGCCATCAAGGTTCCCCAGATGTGCAGAACTTGCTTGGCATTCAAAGCCAGGCAAATGGCTGGGGGCCTGGGAGTGGCTCGCAATTCATCGTTCCCTCAAGTCTCCCGAACTGGGCGAACCTGTGCACAGAGCCAGGCAACTGCACATTTTTTGATGCACTTGAAAATGGTCCCCTCTCTCCCCTCTGTGCTTGTGTGTGTGTGTGCACATGTGTGTGCAAACATGTGCAATACACACATCACAGAGCTGGATTTCCTGCAGTTCCCTCTTGCGTGCGGGGTGGCTTTTCAGATGTGCTCCAGAGAAGTTTCAGGTCCAATGTGCAGATGCAGGTGCCCGAGTCAAGCCTCGTTTTGCCACTGGATAACGTACCGTGGGGCTCGCGGGCTAAGCTCTGCATTGCCTTCGTCACGAGGCTTTGGGTATAAATCAAGCGGCAGGCAGAAAAGCAGGGGGATTCTCCATGATGCTGAGTGCTGTTCATGGCCAACCCAGCATGATCAGAGAATGATGAGAACCTTCCAGGGCCTGGTCTTTTGGCCGTGCACCATTTAGACTTTCAGGCAAGTGTATCTCACAGCAGGAGAACCGTGGCCATGAAAACAGGCTGTCTCCAAAAGGGCCCAGCTGAAGCTTCTTTGGCCGGGACTAATGAAGTCAGATAGTCGCTGCTTAGCACTGTGCAGCAAGCACTTCCCACACGGCAAACTGCCTCTTGTTTCTGACCAGGGCCGAAGCTGTGAGAGTTAGCTCAGTGACAGCACCCCGGGTGCTCTCGCAATGACGGGTGAGTGGATGTGAGAATGGAGGGAGGGGCCGAGATTTTGGGAAAGTGAGGCAAGGAAGATGGGATAAGGGGACAGCTGGTCGGACAGAGACCATGGACCGGAGACCTGACAGAGCAGAGGTGATGAAATAAGGAAGAAAGCCACCGGACAGGACGTTGGAAAGAAGATAAAGAATGGACATGGAATTACATGGCCAAAGTTCTGTGGGTGATGGAGAATCAGCGCCACTGGCGTAGAACCAGCTGGGTCCCTTGTGGGGTTTTGTGTATTGATGGCTGGGATGGCTCATTAGTGGACTCTGTTGATAATAACTAGGGAGCAACTGCCAATCTGCTTCTCTTCATTCACAACTGAGAGTGATGCTCTTTGGACGAGCAAGTTCACAATTTGATCTCCACGCAATGCTCTCTGCATGCTGATGAAAGAGATGGTCAGCATTCTGGACCATACCACTGCAGGCTGCAGGGCAGGAGGGGCATGTTATTCTGCTTCCAGAAGTAATGGACTGCCTGCTTGTAAGAAGCATTGGAAAGGCAGGCTCAGCGGAGCGCTCCTTGTCATACACAACTCACTCCATGCAGAAAGCCCTTTGTGGGAGAGGAAATGTCCATCCCCCTCGCAATACGAAGAGGTACAGCCCAGAGTTCAAGCACTTCACTTTGCCTCGTGCGTATTGCTCCCAGCAACTTCAGGGGGCTGGGCCCAGAAACATTCAGGGGCTTAGCTAAGCCATGATTGCCAGGGTGGTGTCAAACAAGGACCCCAAACACAGAACCACAGAGTGGGCCATTTAGGCCAGCGAGTCCAACCCAGTGCAGGGATCTAGTCGAAACCACCTGACAGGTGGCTTTCCAGTCCCTGCTTGAGGACCTGTAGCGACCAGTGAGGGAAACCTCCCCTCCTGTCCGGGCACGTGGTTCCGTGCCTGGCTGCTCCAGTCGTTGGAAAGCTGTGGTCTCCTGCCACGCGATGGCCCTTTATGCTGTACCCATACCTGCCCCCCCGTCCCCAGCCTCCTCAAGGCAAGCGTGGCCAATGTGCCCCTGCCAGGCTTCGCTTCAGCTCATCTTTGCTGCCTGCCTTGCATTCACAGCATCCCTCACTAGCCCCTGGTTCATCCTGAGCTCCAGCCTGCTGACAACCCCCTGCGCTTCCAGGCCACCTGCCCAGCCAGACCTTGCAGGAGGGATCTGTGAATCAGCAAAAACCGAGTTTCATGGGCTTCCCCAAACTCCATCTCAAGTCTGTGTTAGACTGCAAGCAAACTTTTTTTTCTTTTCACATGGAAATCCATGTGTATTTTCATGCATAGTTTTCTAAAAGTACGCATCTCTGAAATGCACACATTTTTCTCTCTGTGATTAAAGTGTATTTACACGCATTTTTCAGAAGCATGCATTTTTCCATATGTTTTTTCAATGTACACATGCTGCTAAATGCACACTTTTGTTTTCTGAATCACACTGTAAGCTTGGGAATGTGCTGACTTTCCCCATGGATCACACCTGAGTTTGTGTTTGGACTTCAGGGTGCGAATTGAGTAAATCCTTACCAAACACAAACAGAAACTAATTTCTCCTACATTTCTTACCTTGCACAGTACCAAATGGAGTAATGCCAAGAAAACAAACAAACAAGAACACAGAAATCCACTGCAACGTTTGAGAGGGAAATATATCAACGGGGGAAACACAGCTGCCTCCCAAACACTCATGCCTTGGCCGGTGGACCGAAAAGCGCCTCCTTGTTAAAAGCGATCATAAAAATGGTAGATGACTTATTCCTGCCAAAAGCCACTGCCTTTAGCAGGTGTTAGTGTTAACGGGAAAATTATGACTGGCATTGGTTAAGTGCCTCTGAAAATCCCATCTGTGCTCACACGATTTACAGCAGCGCTTCTATTATCAAACATACGGGCTTTGAACTGCTGAACCTGGACCTTTAAGCCCCAGATTTTTTTTAACCATTCAGCCCAATGAACTGTCCAAATGAGAAATCAGAATTGCACCATGGCCGGACTCGAGGCGAAGCAGCTGATTCCAGACCCAAGAAGAGCCTTCTCTGTGGAGGAGCCCTCTCTGGGCTTGGGAAGAGGAACGGAGTAAACTGTGTTCTGGTTTTGAGATGGGGCTTGAATCTGGATAGAAGTGCAGTGAGCTGAAGATCGATCAAGCTCGGCAGGTGCAGCGTTGGGGGTCAAAGGAAGACCAAGTGGGTTCCAATCTTTTTCTGCAAGCCCACTCTCCTAATGCTCCTTCAACCTTTTCATTTCTCACTGGGGCTGCCAAGGTGGGGCAGCAGAATATGGCAGGGAAGAAACCTGCTCTTTTTGTCCGTTCTCCAAAGCCATTTTCCTCTGGAACTTTGCAGGGGAAGGCACGCTGGGAAAATCAATTTTGGGAAGACTACATTTGAAAGTGCCGTGTTTCAGCTGGCCAAAATGTTCCTTCTGCGGTGTGAGAACTCTGATGGCAGCCCATGGACACATGCAGGCTGCCACCTAATATATACTGGGCCGCCGGATCTTTCACCCCAAGGGAAGAAGAAAGAATGATTTCAGGGACTTTGGTTATTTCCAGACGTTAGGGAGGAGTTGATACGGATGCTTTGTACAGCTGGGTTTTGCAATCTGTTGACGAGAGCTGCTCATTAGTAAAGGAGAATGCAGGCAACCCGTTCAGCAGGGGGTAGCTGCTCATCATGGGAAAGCAGGCACACGGTGAACTGATCATCAATATTCCAGCCAAGTCAGGACTTCTCTGCTTCTCCAAATTTTGGATTAGACACAGAAGCGTGGTAAGAGTAAGACTAAGAGTTGACTGGCCAGATGAACAAACCCTCCCATATCACGCTGGTCCTGTATTGTCCACACTGGCTGCCAATCGACGTCTGGGCCCAGTTTAAGGTGCTGGGAATGACCTATAAGGCCCTGAATGGCTTGGGCCCAGGATGCCTGAAGGAGCGCCTCCTCCCCGATGTGCCCGCAAGCCCCTTGAGGTCTGAGGCAGAGGCCCTGCTCCGGGAGCCCTCCTTGAAGGAGATCGGGAGGGTGGCTACTCGGAGGAGGGCCTTTTCAGTGGTGGGGCCCAACTGTGGAAGACCCTCCCCAGGGAGGACCACCTGGCACCATCGCTTTATTCTTTTCAGCGTCAGGCAAAGACCTTTCCATTTTCCCAATATTTTAACAGTTAATTGGTTTTATCTTTGAGAAAAGATATGAAAACAGCTATTAGATGCATTTGTCTGAAAACAGGAGCACTGCAAGAACTCATTGAGTGCTGCTACTTTAATATTTTGCTGTAATCATCATCATCATAAAAATAATGATACCCTTTTGCTTTGAAGAATTGGTGGAAAGTACCTTCCCCAGGCAGGTAAATCTGCAATTTACTGAATTTTTTGCCTTGCAAAAGGCAGGCTTTGTTTGTTTTCATTTAAGCAAATAACATCCTACCAGGACAAATCTTCTGGTAAAATGGACTGGCAGCATCTGGTAAAATGGACTGGCAGAGATGCCGGAATCATCTCCTCATTTGCATTTCTCTTGTTCTCAAAAAAGTGAATTACCTTCTGCAGCTCTTTTGAAGAAGACCTTGCAGCTCCCGCAAGTCAGAGCGCCGTAGTGACACCCAGAAGCTTCATCCCCGCAGATCAGGCAGGTCTTCTGTGGTGGGAAGTAATAGTCAATGGGCAGAACATGGTCCCTTGCAGCATCCAGCCTTTGGAGAGAAGACATAAAGATGGACAAGGGTCAGTTAGCAGGCTGAACACAGAAGCCCAGTGGTCAGCATGTGGCCAGAAGCAAGCATGCATCGTAACACCCACGGGCTTGGTAGCAATCGCAGGCAGCCCACCAGCCAGCCAGTCCGGACACCATCAGTCCTCACGCCCATGCCATCCACCGATGGAACGTGTGCTCTGCTTTGCTTTCAAGGGCTGCTGCAGGCAGGATGGTTCTCGGAGCAGCCTGCAGGAACACACTCCGATCAGCAGGCGCGCCAGGGTATGTCCACAGCAGAAGGTTTTGGAATACCTAGTGTAGTGGCAGCCCCTTACCCGGACACGGCAGGCTGGGCTCAGGGCCAGGGCGGACGGCAGTCCCTCGGCATCAAGTCCTTGTCTGGCCGGCAGCTCAGCAAAGGAGGGCCGCTGAAGCGCTGGCCGCTGCCGCCCAGCTTGTGACCACAGAGCCATTCTGCGGTGACGAAGGTGGCTGCTGGCCCCTTTCACCCAGGGCTTGTCCTCGTGGTGCCAACCTGGCACTGAGGATGCCTGTGGTGGCCCTGTCTTCACACCTGGGGGACAGCGTGAGGGTGAAGCGAGAGGGGCAGTTTCCCAGTTTCATTTTGCAGGGGCACTAAGAATGCCCCAATAGCATGCCGAGCGCCCATGCCGAAGCCCAGAATCCTGAGTCCCCTGAAGCACAGGAATGACGGCAAAACTGGGGTGAGCAGGCAGCCCTCCGCATCCATATGCAGAAGTCCTGCTGCTTCTGTGGGGGTTTATTCCTGGGCTAGTCCTTCGGTCTCAGCACACTTATCAAAACCCAGGTCCCTCTGTCCTCAGCAGGACCTGCTTCTGAATATGCATGCGCAGAGCTGGGCTGCGGAGCTTTGGTTTGGTGAGAAAACCATTCATCTGTTAGCTTGGAATAAAGGTTTGTGATCAGTGGGATTTGGTGGAAGTCCAGCACTGTGCAAGCCAATTACCAGCAACATCTGCTCTTCTGAAGGTGTATTAACCCAAAATCATCTGCACATGACACAGCCTGTTGTCCTTCAGAAAGCGTGTTTGTCCGAACACTAAACCCAGTGCTTCTTTATCACTTTCAATCTTTGTGTTCTCCTTTCCCTGGGAGGGTGTTCAAAGATAGGCTGGACATGCACAAGGTGGGCATGTCGTGAGCGGAGCCGGCTGGAGCCGGGGGTCAGACTAGATGGCCCGGGAGACCCCTTCTGACTTGCTCTGTTTCTACGTTTGACAACCTCAAGAGTTGCTCAATGTATATTCAATGCCCGGCTTATTCTATCTAACCAATCTGTGAATCCCGGCCATGGGTGTGAAGAGAGCGAGAAGGCCTCCGCAAGTGCTTTATTGGCAAATGGCAAATGGCAAATGGCATGTTCTTTCTGCGCATCTTGTAGATCTCACAGAGTCCTAACCAAAGCGAAGCCCCACGTGAAGGCACAAGAAAGCAAGCCTTGCTGCTCTTGGTGATCTCCATCTGCCACTGCCACCCCATACCAAGTGCCACATTAGTGCGGTTGTCGCCACCGCCTTTAAACACACACACCCACGCCCCAAATGTAGGAGGGTGTAGCCAAAAGAAAACAGTATTTCACTGAAAATATCTACACAAGTTTAGGGCATCTACCCAAGTCAGGTCTCACTTTCCTGTTTTCAAGAGTGTTTTTGGAGATCTGGAGCAAGAGCTCTTAGGTTTTCTTACAAGCCGGACAAATGTCTGCTTGGAACATTCATATGCAGTGGTTGCAACTGGGTGTTTTCCATGCGTTGCTGCCCTGGCTCCTGTCGCATGGACTTTGCTGAAGGCTGCACTGCTGCATGGGTGTCTGAGGCTTTAAGGCAGCAAGGCAGCATATGAGAGGATACCAAGGGATGGAATTGTGGCCTTAGATGTGTTAGTGAACATTTTCTAAAGAGTCACAAAATGTAGGTATCAGCAGCCTGCAGAGTGACATTGTTTGGTATTAAAGAGTTTTAAAGAAAACGTTTCAAAAATACAAATTGAATTTTATTGCAGCATGAAAAGTGTATTTTAAGAGAAATAAGAACTATGTGGAGCAGGGTTCCGAAAGGCTGCAAGCCAGTCTGGAGAAATACTGGGGCCGAGTGAAGCGTTCTGAGTTGCATCCATGACAGAAGGTGCAGCTTTTGAGCCAGCCTTCCTTTCGAGTCATGCGAACTCCCTCAGGCTGCCAAAGCGGAAAGACGAAGCACCAATGGGAGGGGAATCCTTACCAAGCCATTCCTGCTTTCAGGTGGAAACCTCAAGAGACCAACAAGCACAAACAGTAACTAAGGTCCAAACAGGGACGTCTCACGAGTTGCAATCCAGTTGCCCTCCAGTGCCCAAGCTTGATCCCGGCCTTTGGGTGTGCGTGGCGTGCGGCACCCGGTCCACCCCGAGCCTTGCCCCTTCCTGCAAGTGGCAACACGGAGTCAACAGACCGCTCTCTAAACCACAACCCTTTTGCCTTCCCAAAGGCCCTAGCAGGAGCGCTTTGCTTTAGCCTGAGCCCTCTGCTGAAGAATAAATGTGTCCCCAGTATGCCCAGTTTGGGGCAGAGCCCAGGGCCACAGGCTGCGGCAAGGGGCCTTAGCCCCCTACTTCAGGGACAGAGCCAGGTTGCAGCTTTGGAAACACACAGGCAGGTGTGTCTGTGTGCATGTGGGAGGGAGGGAGCAAACAGCAGTTCCTGGAAGCGCCGAACCCCTTGCCATTTTTCCTGTTTTCCCCTTTTCATAACAACAACAATGGCAAGAAACAGCAACAACCCACCGGTATTCTGCGTGCGCAGAGAGTTTCACCTTGCCTTTTCTGTGCAACGGAAAAAATAAAAACCTGAATCACATTGTGTATTGTTGCCTACTGGTCGAAGCGGGTGGAGGTCTTAGAATGCAAAGTTCCTTCACAGTTAGAACAAAACCATCTTTCTCTGGTAGCAGATTCCACCCTGAATGGCTAAGTGCAGAATTTGCCAAGGCATAAATGTCCACAGGTGGGAAACTTCAGAACATGAGCCACCATTAGCACCAACAAAGGGAGCACCGAGCTCCACTATGAATTTCCGGATGGTTAAACTAGCCAGGAACTGCTGCACACCTGTGCTGCTTGCAACACCTATTTGAAACTAGACCTGTTCCAAACAGGTATCCCTGAAGGCGACTGTGGCAGATGCAGCATTTTCCTGGCAGTCACAGGGAGTCCTTCACCTGCAACATAAATTCATCCTTTCAACCTTTCCTATAGACAGAGCAGCCAGGTGGATATGGGGTGGACAAGAGGGTCCCACAGCGAGGAGGAGTGTCAGCCTCTAGTCTTTGTGCTGTCCCTCAGCGTTGGGCGGCAGGGATCCATCTCTCCTGAAAACTGTGATTTTAAAAGATGCGGGACTGCATAGAGGGTTTCTCTTCCTCAGCAACAGCAGCAACCGCATCGCAGAAGCAACAGCGCGGGTGGAGAAGAACAGAGGCGCTGTGTGTTGGTGATGGTGCAAGCACTGGCTGAGAAGTACCAACTGCTGCCAGCTTCTCCCCAGTGCACACTGAGCCAGGTTGCAAATGCGAACAGCTTTTGTCAGAGTTCCTCTCACACCAGAAAAGTATGTCTGTTCAGAATGCGCTGGGTTTAACACCAGTAAATTACTTCCGCTGTTCTTAAAATGCTACATCTTTCCTCATCTTATTTGGAGTGATTCATAACTGTTTCATTTAATTGCGTATGTGGCACAAACAGGATATCCTTGGTGTCTAGTGCTAAATGGCGAGGCTTGGGAGTCTTGCCTAAAATTCACTCAATTTACCATTAATATTACTTGCATCCCTCCAAAAAAAATACTAGAGAACCTGCATGATTCTCTGCCTCAGCCAGGACTTGATTTAGTGGGATATTGCTATATAAACCATCAGTTGATGGTGCAACAGAAACCCAGTGGCTTTCAGGATGTACCAAAGTTGTTTTCATTCCCTGGATCATGTGTGCTTATTAATCTAATTGATCTGCACCCACAATTACAATAAACAAATATACTGTATATTATATGTGCATGTGTGCACATACATGTGCAAATATACTAAACGCCAGAACTGGAAACCCAATTTAAAATCACAAGAAGTCATTAAAACCAGGCACAAGAGATGGCTTATGAAAGCCAGGCTCAGTCCTGCAAAGCTGTCCTAGCCAGCAGGGCCTCAGATGGTCTGTGAAGCCTTTGGCATACTGGCAGGATGCGGCTCTCCAGGAGCCAGGGCCAAAAAGGACCCCCACCCTGTCATCACCGCCGTCCGCCTCGGTGGTAGGAAGCCTCATCTGGTGAACTCTTTGATCAGGCGATCTCAGGAAGGAGGCGGCGGCCACCGAGGAGAAGCCAAGCAGATGTGGGAGTGCGATTAGGGAGGCGCCGGTGGGCAGGCTGCCCAACCAAGGAAAGACGCAACCAAATCCATCAGGTAAGCCACGGGAGCCAGCGTGGAGAGGAACCCAGTCTGAGCCGACCCACCAAACTGCCTTCTTGGCAAGCAGCATTGCCAGTGGCACTTGGGCCATTCCCAGGTTTTGCAATGGCTGTGGTAGCTCCTTCCTGCTCTACAGCCTTTGTGGTTCTGGGTTCAAAGCCAGAAGCTAAAGGGTGAATGGAGCCTGCCACCCTGAGTTCCTTAAGAGATGACAATAAAAATGTTATCCATATATTTTGAAAACCATACTTTTCTATGTAAAAAAAAGCCCTGGACTGATAGCTTGCCTGCCCCGCCCTGCCCCTCACTCCAGGAATTAAACTTGGTACATTTCTGAGGTTGGGGATAGTGCCCCTTTGCTTGCTGGTCAAGACGCCTGAGCTGAAAGCAGGGAGCTGTCCCAGAAGGCTGAGGAATGACTCTGTCCAAGGAAAGATCAGAAGCTCAGAAGCAGGCTCCCAAGGCAGCCTCCCGAGGGTTAACCCTTGATCATTAGCTGCTCAGCAGCCCTTGCTGGCCT